TAATCGACGACGTCATCAATAAGCGGTGGCCGCTTGTTCTTTTTTATTCAGTTTCGTAATTATATTGTTCTTAACTCGTTGCCATAGATCGTAATCACCAATCATGAATTAAGATGGTATTCGATGGAGATCAAAATAGTTGACTATAATCGAAAATCATAATAGGTATTTATGGTTCGAAAATAGTTAACTACTTAGCTGCCTATGGTTAACTATTTAATTTTTTGGCTATATTTAAAAATTAGCGAATTATGGAGCAACATCACTATAATCACTATGGTTCCAAAATAGTTAATTACTTGATGCCTATAGTTCAAAAATAATTAACAGTTAAATATTTACTGGTCATGGTTCGAAAATAATGAACTATGGAGCGACATCACTATGGTTCTAAAATAGTTAATCTATGGTTCGAAAATAGTTAACTATTTATTGGTCATAGTCCGAAAATAGTGAACTATGAAGCGACATCACTATGATTAGAAAATAGTTAACTATTTGTTGGCTCGGTAGTTACAACTTCATGTTGAGTTACAACATCTGGTAGTAAACACCTATGATTGATGAACAAGATATGTAGTGTATTAGAGCGACGAAATATTCTAGGGATTTTTTTTCTTAATACTTTCCTTATCCGATTACCTTTTATTTTATTTTCTTTGAAATTCCATAGCAAATTTAATAGGAGCAATTTCGTCTGAAATTCTTACCTCTACTACTCACCTAATTTCTTTTAATCCTACGTTACTCTTCTAATTATGTCCCTCAAAAGTAATATTAAGTTAATTCACCATTTTATCAATATAGAGTTACAAAATATCACAAAGAAAATATAAATTTTCGACCTATGACGCCATTGGTACTCTTCAAGTTATATATTGAAAATTATATAAGTTAAAAAATAATAATATTATATTTACTATCAAGTTAATATTGTATAAAGTTTGGCGAGTATAAATATCTATGATAAATAAAACGATAACATTAGTAAAATACAATTATCAATCATGTATTTATGTGATAGTTTACAATATTATTTATAGTTTTTATGAGGTTACTAACATTAAATTTACACTTTTCTGATTTAACTATATAGTATTTTAGTTGTTTTTATTTTCTATCGCATAATCATAAATATTAATAATGGATTAAAATATATATTTTACCTGTTATCAAGAATATGATTTAAATTCCGATAATATATATTTTTAGATTTACGTGATATGAGAATTATTATATAAATTGATTTCTACTGTTTTTAGGATCCACGTTAAATATTAT